GGGTCCGGAATCGCACTAGCTGCTGTGCACAATCTATCACTGCCCCATTAGGGCTCAACCAATCCATGCCTATCATCACCTTGTTCCCACGCAACGGAATGGGAACCAAATCTACCAAGTAGCGCTCCTCGAACAAATGCAATATGCAGTCCTGAAACACCATCGATGCTCGCACCGATCGATCATCAGCAATTTCTACATCCAAAGGGCAATCCAACATGCCCGAAGACTCGGGAAACATCTTGCTAAGCGCAAGGGAAACAAACGATCGGGATGCACCCGAGTCAAACAACACCTGAACTGGGATACCGTTCACATGGAACGATCCTAACACATATACATAACCGAGCACATATCAATATCATAACATCATATAAATAAACGTGAGGGAAAGAATCATACCCATCACCACATCTGGTGTTGCGCGTGCCTCCTCGGTGGTCAGCTGAAATGCCCGGCTCCTCACCACTGGAGCCTCTGCCTTGCCCTGCTAGCCATCTGTGAGCCACAGGGTCGCTGGAGTTGGCGCCTTCACCGGCGCTGAAGCTGTTAACTGGGGACAATTGGTCTTCTTGTGGACTCTCTGGTTGCAGTGGAAACACAGCAAATCCGATGTCTGAATAACTGCTGCTGGAGCAGTGCAATCCCTGCTATAGTGCCCAGTCTTGCCGCACTTGTAGCAGCCTAATGATCCTATCCTGCATGCCCCCTCGTGCAGCCTGCCGCATTTCCTATAGTGGCTCGGTCCTGACTGGCCTTTCGGCCTACCATCTGATCCCTTGGGCTTCTTCCCCGAAGCCCCTCCTATCTGTCCCTCCTCTGACTTCCGTTTCCGGATGTGCTCCAAATCTATCTCCCTCTCCCTAGCCCTGGAAATCATGGAGTCCAGGTTGGGGCAGGCTGAAAAACTAACATACTCCCGGATATCAGCCCAGAGCATGTCATGGTAACGGGTCCTACACATGTCCTCATCCCTCGCATACTGGGGCACCAACAGTGCCCTCTCCCGTAACTTGGCGGTGATCTCCGCCACGGTCTCTGTCGTCTGTCTCATGTCCAAAAACTCACTGGCCAACTGCTGAAGCTCGACAGCCGGTGCAAACTCTGCCCTAAACCTGGTCACAAAGTCCGACCAGGTCATAGCCTTGATAGCTGAGGCTCCCAAAGGGTCACCCACTGACTCCAACCAATCTCGAGCCCGGTCTCGTAAACACCCTGCTGCATACCTCACCTTCGACCCCTCAGGACAGAAGCTAGTCAACTGTGCAGACTCGATGTCTGCAATCCATCGCCTAGCAATAATGGGGTCCTTCACCCCGTGGAAATCCGGCGCACCACTGCCCCTGAAGTCCTTAAAGGACAGCATGCAAGATCCCGAATGGCCAGATGCCATGTTGCTCCTGAACGCCCTGAGGCGATCCTCCATCAACTCGATGATCCCTTCCTTGATCGACCCGAAGATAATGGGGGTCGACTCAAGGATGCCTCTGGTAATCTCAGACATGATGAACTCACATAGCCCCTCGTCTACCGGCTCAAAACCCGATCCCGAACTTGAACTGCCCACTGCTGGCCTCGATCGTAGTACCACCATTCTGCAATATAGAAATAATAACTGTTAGTGATACTACTACTTCTTGAGGGATCACATCTACCACAAGTTCCCCGGTCTCATCTTGGCCTCCCTTGGTTCGGGTACGGATCCTCTACTTCCAGTAGTACGGGCCCATACTACCTTCCACATCTATCTGTACCTTCTTCAAGAACTGCCTCGACTCCACCAGATCCCTTCTACTATGGTTGAACACTGCTATACTCATCCTAGGCTTTCCCTAGGGAAATATCTGACTCTACTCTATCCAGTCCTCAGCTGCTGCAGGCCTCTTGGTGATGCCAATTAACTGTTACCTGAATACAATCACATGTGACGAGGCTCGGATAATCCTTCGAGTAAGGGACTCATCTCTACCACAGTTAGGACTCAAACAAGAGCTACGCAATAGAGTCAAATCCGACACTCTGAGATTATTCAAACCTGATCACATGTGACTTTAACGTATTCACCTAACAGTTCAATCCCATCACTTCAAAGCCCACATAGCACAAAGCAAACAACATTTGGACGTAAGGAAAACAATCTCAAGCAACTCTATCCTCGTAGAGAGAACTGAACTAGCATACAAAGCTAAACTCGAACTATCAGGAATAACCTAAACAAGCTACCCTACTGCTGTCTACTCAATTCTAGCATGCAACTCTTCCATATACTGAAGAACATAAAGCACGCAAATAAGGCATCACTCCGAGATCCTTAGTCCTATTCTAGCATGCTGTACTACAGAAACTGATAAACATAAATAAACTTGTATGGGTACATTGGGGAATACTTACTTAAGCTCGACCGGTCGTGCACATCACACACTTTGTTCATTCTTAAAACCCCTTTACTTAGCCTTTTAGAAAACATTTTCTCTTTCCAAAATCTTTTAATCCACTCGATTTGAGTTCAAACACCCCCGAAGGTGTGTCCGAATCCCTCAAACCAGGGCTCTGATACCAACTTGTAACGACCCAATTTTCACGTCCAAAAATTTCGTTTTTAAAACATTACTTTAGAAAACATTAATAATTAAAAACATTGTTGGATCAAACTACATCACAACGTAAACCATGTTTAAAAGCCAAATCATACAACCAATCGAAACATCAGAGTATAAATCCCAAAGAAATCTAATAGATGCGTAAACCAGTGTGTGTGCATGATGTGTCGCTACCGTGCTAGCTCCTTCCCCTTCGACGAAGAGGTACCTGAAACCAAAACTATAAACTGTAAGCACAAAGCTTAGTGAGTTCCCCCATCGTACCATATACCATACAATACATAACATACATACTGCCAGGCTATTCTGGGGTGCCTGACTACCCGGTACGGCCATTCTGGGATGCTGACTACCCGCGCGGCCATTCTGGGGTGCCGTCCTACCCGTGTCAAGCCATTATGGGGCGCTGACCTACCCATGTCGAGCTATTCTGGGGTGCTGACTACCCTTCGGTCCTACCAACCGAACCTCGGAGACTATTTCACCCCTACTACTACCACCACATATATCATATCACACACATAATATCAAACATATCTGGGGTGTCTGACTACCTTTCGGTCCTAACAACCGAACTCTACTACTATCACATACAACATATCATGCTAGCATATAACATATCAAGTAGTAGCAAACCTAGATGATATCACAAAGACAATCATCTATCATATATCTCCTACTGGTGGGCCGGCATTGTGGCCTTAGACCCACCGCTACTGGAAGGCAACTCACCTCAGAGTAGCTGCTGATCTGTGTGGGAATAATCTTTTTGCTGCTGCTGCTGCTCCGGAAATCCTCCTGCTATAATTCCCACCAAACACTTAGTCAAAAACTGCTAACTGTCCTTTGGGTAAAATGACCATTTTACCCCTGATCATGCCCTAAGTCAAAGTCAGAGTCAACTTCCAGTTGACCCGACTCGCCGAGTTGGCTCGCCAACTCGCCGATGTCCAAACGGCTGACCTGGATTCTGTTTCTACTCGTCGAGTTAGGCGTTGACTCATTGAGTTCTCCTTCCAAACTGATGTTCAAGTCCTTCATCCTACTCACCGAGTTGGATGAACAACTCGCCAAGTTCATCTTCATCCGATGAACAAGTTATACTGTGACTCGCCAAGTTGTATGAACAACTCGTCGAGTCTGATCTTGATCTAAGGAGATTGCCTTGAACTCGCCGAGTTTGGCCATCGACTCGTCGAGTTCTGTTATGGGTGAGTTTTCGATTCCAACTCACCGAGTCCACCCTGGACTCACTACACAACTCGACACAACTAAAAGGGGACAATCTCGGAGACTCGCGACTAGACTCGCCGAGTCAGATGAGCGACTCGCCGAGTCTGCTTCATGCAAGAGCCATATACGCGATTTTGCTCGAATCTGGTCCATTCCATTCATATATCTGGGTTCCTAAAGCATGAATAACACGTAAAGTTTCCAACTTTACGTGTAGATATTCATCCATGAGGGTTTTAGGGTTCAAAATGCACTAAAAGAGTAGATCTAAGGTCTTCATGCAATATGGGTCCATAAAGGTAGTAGATCTGAGCTACTGGAGCTCAACCAAGCCTAGATCTAGAAGCCAATCAACTTATTACGAAATATGATGCACATACAAGCTTGGGGAAGGGCTCAAGGAAGACTTTAATGGAGTTATAAGCATATAGACAAGGGGAAAACGAGTTTTACCTCAAGGAAATCACTGAGAGGACACTAAGATGCTTGGCTTCCTTCCCTTCCTCTTGATCTACTCCACTTCCTTCTCAAAATCTTCAAGAACACACACTAAAATGCCTCAAACTCACAAGAACAAGAGCTAGAACGTATGGAGAGCTTCTGGGGTCGAATGGGGCGGCGTTGGGGCGCAAATGGGTGTTTAAATAAGGTGCAAACCCTTGGAAATTAGGGTTTCATCAAACAGCGCAGACTCGCCGAGTCCCTAATATGGACTCGTCGAGTCGCCATCTTATCCGCACCCCAAAGTCTCGTCTCTACTCGGCGAGTCGGGCCTCCAACTCGCCGATTCCACGGCCAAAAACACAAGTACTTAGGCAAAACTCACGTACCAGGAACCAGGTGCTACAGTACAACTTAGTGTATTCATACTCAGTATTCTTCCTAACTAAATGAAGCTTCAATGACTCATTATTTGTTTTAGTGCACCTTACCTTAATGATGGGATAAGGTTTTGATCTATGATCCAGAACATCTCTAAGTTTCTTTTTGTCAATCCTGTCATTCAGCTTGGAAACCATTTGTTATTTATCCACATTATTTTTGAACGACTAAATGTTATTCTTTTGAACATTAGAGCTTTGAACATCAGCACTTTTATTAACAAAAGAAAGAGTCTAAGAAAGTTTAACAGACCAAAATTCTTCTTTTCTAGCTAAAATAGTGGCATTATGCTCCATCACTAGTGGTAGAAGAGCTTCCAGTTTTAGTGTCAGTGACTCGCCCTGAGAAGGAAGCCTTCCTCTTCCGAGGATTGATTTTTTTATCCTTAGATTCTATGTCATTGTAGGTTCCTTGAGGAATCTCCCCCTCAAAATATGAATCAGGGTAAACAACACTCAAAGGAACAACAACTTGTGCCATAAAGCCCAAGTCAAGAAACCCTTTATACTCATCAGTCTCAGATTGATCACTAGCGTCTAGAATAAGCTGATCAATCTTTGTTGCATCAACATTTGGGGCGTTTCTCTCTTTTTCAGCTACAATGATTTCCTTTTGATTATCATCCATTCCTAATTCAGATTTTCCAGTAGAGATGGAGTTGTTGCAGCCACCATTTGCTGATCATTTCTTCCTACACTATTCACTCCCTTTTTGGCATCACTAGTTTGTGGAGGGGAGCCATGAGGTGGTGAAGGAGTGCGAGAGGGGATGAAATGGTGGAGGAGGAGGTGGAGGATTATCATTTGGAGAATTTGGTGGATAGTCATAAATAACAATATTATCATTATCATCATCACACAAGGTCGTAATATGTTTAATATCAGTCATATCCTTTTATACTCCAGTTAATCTTTCTCCCAAAGATTAAGTTAACTGCACCAATATAGGGAGTTGAGAGAGCAGAATTGGCATATGGGGAACAACTACAGCTCGGGGAGAAGGAAACGATGATCTTAGAGAGATAACATCTTGAATCAATGGATCAACAGTTTCTGTTTGAGGAAGGCTTGATCCGCGCTGTAGAATTATTGGATTAGGTGTCTAAGCTAATAACTAAATTAGTATAATCTTGAATTATTAGCAAATTTCCTGTTGGGTTGCCCTCAAAACTAGTAATGGACTGGAATGCTTTTTGGAGAAAGAGACCGATTTATTACATTATTATATGATTAATAAGCTAAATAGAAATCAAACTAAATAATTTATTAATATATTATGATAATAATATATTATTTATAAATGGTATTGTTTATTTAATAATTAATCTGAAGTGTGCTTGGCCGAGCCCGAATTTAATTGATATGTTTAATTACTAGTTTAAATCCAATCGTCATAAATCATGAAATCGGGAAACATAATCTTTGACTATGAGATGTATTCTAATCCATGTCTCATGTCCATAAGATATCTTTTAGAACGGAGGAATATTTGATCACTTATCTAAAGGAGAAATATTTGATCGGATCAGAGTTCGACAGTTACTTTGGAAAGCACACTTTGTTGTTTGATTTATAAGTTATACCTGTAATTTAGTTTTAGACTAATCTAAGTGGGATACTGTTGGAATAGGTGTCTAAGTAAACAAAAAAGTTAGTATAATCTTGAATTATTAGCAAAGATTCTTTTGGATTGCCCACAAACCTAGTAATAGACTAGAATGCTATTTGGAGAGAGTGACTGGTTTATTAATTTATTATAATTAATAAATTAATTAGAAATAAAAATAAATAATTTATTTATATAGTATGAAGATAATATATTAACTAGAAATAATATAGTTTTAATTAATAATTAATCGGATATTAATTGAAATTAATTTTGGGATTAATTGGATTAGTTAAAAATGGAAGGAATAAAGGTGACAATGTTCAAAAGTTGAACATTTACCAATTCTAGAAGCACCCTAGGAGGGAGATGAAACTCTAGATGGTTTTTTGGGGTTTTCTTGGCCATTAAGGAAGCATAGGAGTCCTTAGGGACCACGGAAAAGGGATAAGGCTTATCTAAGGAAACTTGCCTTATCATAGTTCCCTTAGTAACCTATATAAACCCTCCTAAGGGTTCATAATTTCCTTCATCCTTAACCAAGAGTAAGAAACGAACATTATTATTTCATCTCCTCTCTTCGCTTTAGCCTCCTACTTGCTAGGGTTTAGGTGTATGCCATTAGAGGTACGAGAGTTCTGGTGCTTGCTTTTGAATACCAACAAAGAAGGATTATTAGTTTATTTGAAATAATAAACTAAAGTAAGTATTTTCTAATAACCTTTTAGTATATTTCAAAAATGGCAATGTACTTATAGGGTTCTTGATATTCAATAGTTGTTTGCAAATCATAGTGAGAACATAGATCCTTTAGGGTGGATGTGAGCATACGGTTTAGGCTTATATGCCAAAAAAATTAGTTTTCTTTAACATATAAAACCCATAAAAATATCATCTGAAAAGGGAGTGGATGAAGAAGTATAGGAGAATCTAATGTGCTTGTTCACTTTTTAAGGCGAATTCATTCACTCAACAGAGGCTTCTCCTTTATCAGTGGCAAGTTCATCTTCTTCATCTTAAGTGTCATCTTCATCATCAGCTTGTTCTTCATCATCAACACCTTCTTCATTATCTTTGTCATCATTCTCATCATACTCTTTTTCAGAGTCAGATGGTTCAACAGTGTAGGGATTTGCAATCCAGTTTTCCATTCTTTTTGTAATATGCATATCACCATTAGAAGGAGCAACATTGATGATCATTGAGGAGAGGGATGGGATTGGAATGATGTCTCTACGATCAACGTTATAAGCTTCTTCATCATGAGCCAAAATCAGTCTAAGCTTATAAGGATGAGGAACATACACTAGCTTCTTGTTCCTAGTGATACAATCAATCAACTTATCAAGAAAGACTTAAGCAAAATTCAATCCTTTGTTGCACACCATGGGATACAAAAGTCTTTGCTAAAAATATTAAATTGATCTAATCTCCCTATTTTGCATACGAGGCATTTTCTGATTACCCCAAATAGGTACTTCCACCATACACCAAAACACTAATGATGAATGTATTTGGATGGATCACGAGTGGTACTCTGAAGGGAAAAGTTATACCCTAATGTTTTACGAATGGAATTTTATTTTTCTTCTGAAGGAATTTCAGAATAGGTTTCTGATTGAGGAAGATTAAGAGTAGTTTAAAAAAGTTACACATCAAGAGTAACCATAGATTCATCATCTCCAATGGTTCCGGTAATGGTTTGATCATTTGTTTGGTGACCGAGTTTTGAAGTTATGTTTGATAATTTGTTGATAATTAAGTTTGGAAGTTTTCTTAATTGAGTGCATTTATTGTTTTCTTTGTTCGTACTAATTAACATATGGGTGAGACCACGAGGCTCTATTTGTATGGTACCTCCAAGCAAAAAGTAGATGTCCAGAAATAGTTAACTCAGAAATAGTTGAGACCTTTTTCAGTTACCTTGATAGAATTGGAGGCTTTCCAACTATCTTCATATTTTTACTTGAGATATCCCATATATGGGGGAGTTTAATACGATAATACTCGTGGTTTTCAGTTTGCCTAAGTTAAACAAGAAACAAGTGAGTTTTCTACGGGGATGCTTGTAGCTTTCAATTTCAAGTTATTCATATTGCTTTCATATAAATTTCAGTTTATATGTTTATTTATGATCAATCCCTTTCAGATTTTTTATATTTTGTTGGGCATAAACATATGTATCTCCTAAGGCTATATGTCTTACACATTTGTTGTGTAATTAGGATCAAGAGCAAAGGAGTAGAATGTTAGAGTTAGAAGGAGCATTTTGAAAAATATAGCAATCCTGGACTATGGTGTTTTCCATACCCTTAACTATGGTTGTGATATTTATTTTGTAACACCCAAGACATGTAAACTTTGATAAAACTGATACTCCATCCATCTCAATATTATAGTCCATCTTTACTTTTTGGTTTGTCCTAAAATAATAATCCACTTCTAAAAATAAATAATATTTTTATCAAAATACCCACTCATTATTATTTAACTAACTAAGCATTTAATGTAAACTAAATGTAAAGTACGGAAAAAACTATTATTTTATTATATAAAGTTAGTGGTCATTAATGTTTCATTAATATGTGTGTTTTTTATCTGTGAACAACCGTTTTTGGACAGAGGGAGTAGTATTTACGGTTTATGTAAAACCACTTTGTGATGCATAACTATACGTTATGGAGTTTATAACAAACATAATATATAAATGTTTCATAAAGAACGAGTTGTAATAACGATTCAGTCAATACCTAATAACGATTCAATCAATACCTGATGTTTAATGATATCATAACAAAGTGAGATCAATACAACAAGTCATTTATCATTATATGCTAATGTATATATATTGAACTTAATGGCTTGAAAGAGTTATAAAAAGTTCATGTATTAGTGATAGTATTTAATTTCTCATTTAATAAATCCGGCAAGAGTTTATGGAAACAACAATAAGAAACCATAATCTGGCCTCACATCCCTTAACTGTGAAATAGGTACCGTTTCATGTTGCTTCTTTCATGATCGCTATTTGCTTAGGAGATTACCTTAAAAACAGAAGAAGAATGAGAATTTTTATTTTATTGATTCGAAGTTTTGCAGTTACTATTTGCTATGTGGGGATATCTGTTAAGAAAAATCTATTTGATCTTTAGTTTCTCCATCGAAAGGATCTCCACTAAATTTTAGATAAACATGATCTATGTAAACCCTAACTTGAGAATTACTTTTCAATCATATTTTTTGTGGTATAGTTAGATTATTTGTTTAAGTTATTGTAAACACCTAATTATTCCCAAGAAGTAGTAACATAACGGTGAATATTGTGAAATTCACAAATCTCATAGTCGACATATTATGGTGTAAATGTTTTGTACTTGGATCTTTTCCACTTACAATTATACCAATAAAAAAGTTGGACAGAGTATTATATAAACTAGGACATAGGATATGATAAAAACAAACTTTATGTAATTTCAATTCTTAAATATACATTTTTTAAATCAGTGATTTAGAATTTTTTTTTATATGTTTGTAATAACGAAGTAAAGTGACTACAACTAACACTTTTGTTTCTATCTACTCAGAGTGAGTGTCTAAATTATGAACGTTTTATACCAAAAGTAAAATAGTCATGTGTGTGTGTGTATATATATATATATATATATATATATATATATATATATATATATATATATATATATATATATATATATATATATATATATATATATATATATATATATATATGTGTGTGTGTGTGTGAAAAATAAGTTTAAGAAGATGAATTGTTATGAATAAATACAAAAACAAAATTAAGTTAATTGAAAATGAACAAATGCAAATTTATAAAGGTTTTAGAATTAAATACTTAAGTTCCAAAACCAGAGAATTTCATATATACCTCTTAAACTTCAATATATCATATTTGTTCAGCTTAATTTCTCAATATCATATTACTCTTCATAAACCTTCAAATATATTTACCAAAATTCTTTTTTATAATGTTTTTAATATTTTATAATTTTTTATACAATAGAATTATTATAATAATTAAGAAATTTAACCATATTATCTTTACGGATGTTTGCCTCTTAACAGATAAAAGATTGGTCTTCAACCATTTCTATTGAATTTATATTTTAGTTGTTTAGTTTTTGTTGTTATTATCCTCTTTAATAAATAATTTTTTTTTGGCACATGTCATATTCTCATTCATTTTGACACTTGTCATTGTGAGAATTTTAGAAATTTTATTTTCCACTTATCATTTTTTAGGGATTTCTATTTTCTTAAAATAAAATTCCATAAAATTGTGATGGATTCTATAAAGAAATAAAATCATCCTATTAATTTGGTAATACATTCTCATAAATACTTCAAATGACTTAATTTTATTAGCAAATTTTCAGAAGATTATATTCTGTTATATAAAATATTTCATGTTTATATATTGATATTAAAATTTTATTTTTAATGAACCCGTATATTATACGGGTCTCATACCTATTTATTATTATATTGTAGATTGAAGATATTTTATATATTATCATTGATATGATATTTAAAAAAGATATATATGATATTTTTATGTTTAAAAACGAAATATATAATATTTTGAAATTTTATAAAGTATAAATATGATATTTAGAAAGTCAGTTGGGTAAATATGATTTTTTAATGTTTAAAAAACGAATATATGAAACTCTCTTATCTAAAAGTATAGTTAATTTTTTTTTCTTTTATTTATTTATTTTTTTATGCAAACGAGAATCAATCCCACAGACTTGAAAATAGAAAAGGCACTAAAGTATATGATTTTCATCGTATATTTTTTCATAAAATGATATATAAAAATATTAACAGATAATTGCGCTAAATTTTACGCCTTATTATTAAATATTATTTTTTAATACCTTACACCTCTTCAAAGTCTACTTTGTAATCCACTATTGAATGATTTATAACATACAATTTACAATTTACCAAAAATATATATTAACATGTATAATTTACCAAAAGTATGAAGTAACTAAATCTTTAAAAATATACAAAAATATATATTAACATGTACAATTAACCAAAAATATGAAGTAACTAAATGTTTAACAAAATGATATTTGTACAATATGATGTAATAATATATAAAAGCAATAATTTATTTAAATAAATAAAGATTATTTTTGTCATATATCATACTCTAATTTATTTTGTCAAATGTTATTTTTTGTTATTTTAAATTAGTTTCTTTCTACGTGGTATCTTATAGGTTTTTTTTTTTTTTTTTTATTTATTTTTTTAATTTTATTAATTTCTATATAATATTTTTATATAATAATTACAATAATTTTTTTTATTAATTTGATTAATTGACTTTCTTTTTAATTTCAAAAGTTTTAAATTAAAATCTTTTCTTTGTTTGTTTATCGAAATTATTTATTTAACTTTAAAAAAGAAAATTTAAAAAAAAACACATTAATTTTCGTAATTAAATACTTATATTTATATCTATTTTTTATAAATTTAATGTTCTTGAATGTTAAGAATTTCATATATATATATATATATATATATATATATATATATAATATATATATATATATATATATATATATATATATATATATATATATTAATTAAATGAACCATAAAATATGATCTAACACCTAATTGAGATCTAATAAGTGACAATTGACTGCCTTCCGTTTCAAAATAACAATAATAAAAAAAGAGATAATTGACTATATTATATTGAGATCGAATCAAGTAGTAATGGTTAGGCCTACCGAGGAATAGACAGTAAAACTTCATCATTATGTAATTAATGTATTTAATTAAGCCTTAAGATTAGAAGGAATCTTTTAAAACGTATAAAACAAAGTTATCTTAGTCGAGCATGAGTGAATTATATCCACATTAACAATATTGTATGATTAACGGATTGAGAATAGACATAATATAATTTGAATTATTTGCTAAAGTTACCGATATATGAATTGATGCTATTTCTAATATCCTTGAAAATTTAAAAGTTACTAATATGACTATGGAATATATGTTGTGTTCAAATGTGTGACAACTAGTCTCTAGGTTTTGTATGTTATATTTGTATAGAAAAATTGTATTCTATATTGAACCTTAAATACCTTCGATAGATTTTTTTTTAGTGTCCACATTTTCAATGTACTTTGATGTCCAAGTAACATTGTATATTTTGTTGTCTGTCGATGGCACTATCACCTATAAATAATGATATAGTCTTAAGTATTAGGTATGCAAACTCATTCATCACACTTGTACTTGAGATTGCTTCTTGAGATTGCTTCCGGTCGTAATAGAACTTAAACATAATTATTCACTTGGTGTGTGCATTTCATTAGTGAATTTGTTAGTTGATTGAATGTTGATCACATCAAGTGGTATCAAAACGGGACTCATCAACTTGTTTGGAGAATTTAACAACTTTGGATTTGAAATTCACATTTCTTTGAACATTGTTTTAAAATTTTCGATTCTGCATTCTCGATTGCAATTGTATATCAATTCAATATGATCTAAGTCTTCGTTCAAAACATTTTAATGTCTAGTATCTATATGAACACGATTATGAACTATCAAAATTTGATCAGATCTTCAACAAAGCACCTATGTTTATTCATGAATATTATGATCAATGGGTTGATCGTATAAAGTACTACAGGAGAGAGGTTGAATATGAGGATCTATGACTATCAATGGGATGAAGATCTATGGCGATCAAATAGAGATGGATTGTATCGTGCAAATATGGTTAAGCCAGTTGGAACATCAACAAAGAAATAGAATATGAATGTTCTAAAGGTCAAACATGAAGCAAATGACAAAAGATGCATGAGAGAATTAAGAGATGCATTGACTCCTGTTGTGTATAAGTACATCCATGGATGCAACACAACTCAGCAAATCTGGAACAAGCTGAAAGAAAAATCTTGAACTGAAAGAAATAAGAAGTGTTATGTCACTCAATTGCTATCTAGGTTGTCTAAGTTCAAGAAAAAAGGAGAATAATTCGATCGACCTTTACTACGATCATTTTAATGCTCTTATTTACAAAATGGTGAAGTATAAGGTTGTTCGTAGTGAAATGGAATTCAATATTAGGTTCATTAAGGGGCTATGAAAGGAGTGGAGTAATATAAATTTGTTGATAAAATCACATGGGAACTTTGATTCATATTCTTTATTTGTATTGTATAACACTCTGAAAGCTTACAAGGATGAAACATAAATTG